CCTGGGATTATGTCACAAATCTACGTCAGGGGTGGACACAATAATATGGAATTCGGGAGCCAGTCCGTCCAATCCACGACACCAGCGCCACTGATGACAACAACTAGAGAAAACCTAAAAATTTAGGTGCCAGCTGTAATTTTTAAAGTGATTTTCAAGTCGGTCATTGCTGGCAGATGGGGTAGGAAATCAGTGGGAATCTCCCAAGTAGGGAAAAAAAAGAAAAAAGGAAATTGTTTCTCACACTGTCTAAAACAAAATATTTGTCCAGGATTAGACTTTCAGGGCTGGTGCACAACTAGGCGACACCTCACCGCACGGCAATCGTGTGCGTCAGGAGTCACCAAGGTGTGAACCGATCGCGTTGTGGGTGGCCTTATTTTCGAATGGCACCTCAGCCGCGCTGAGCGCATCACGCGGTTTCCCGCTAAAACAGCCACGCGCCGTGTATCGCAAAAAAAAAGGTACATATACCTTTTTTCTGCGATTGCTGTGCGCATGTCACCCCATTGAAATCAATCGCGGATCGCGGAGGTCTGCACCGGGCCTTAGACTTCGGAAAGGAAGAAAATGTCTTTGGAGTCCTATCTGATATATAAGAAATGATGTTGGATGACCCTCTAAAATCTTGGCACACAAGTAACATGTGTATCCTGTATCATATATAACACATGGAGGAGACCGAATGACATCTTTGTCATTTATATATGTTCTCACCATCATGCAGTTTGGTTGTATAGAGCGACTTGCCACAGTTTGTACTATTGCATCAACCACACATCGGAAATTCGTAAAACATTGCTTGCGTCTGGCATCGTGTGCCCTGGTTCTAGAAGAATCATTCGGTATCGCAAATGCCACTGGTGACATCGGAAAATCTCCAACAATTTTTTTTAGATATCCGTTGCTCGTTATGATCTCATGCAGTGGTAGGCAAGCTCGGCACAGGCATGATGGGATTTGTGTCATCGTTTTTTGGGACCCTCCATGCTCTGTGATCGTTGGCTGGGGGGGAGGTCTTTGTTGTGTTGCTCTTTGCTTCAACAAATTTTGCGGTTTATTCTACAAGCTGTGTGATTTTCTTTTAATGATTTGCTAATTGGAGGTGGCACAACTGTTTGTCTCAACTTGTCCTCCCAAGGCTGAACTTTTGTCAGCTACAAAGGTTAATTGTCTGTGGCGTTTACTTGCGACATAATCCTCAAACTGGAGACGAGCCCCATTCTTCACAAGTCATGTTAACACTTTCTGTGCCCAAGGAAGCAGCTCAGACTGAACTCTCATCTTTAAACATTTGTTCTTGCTGTACTATGGTGTAGATATATAGGTAATGGTACATAACAAGGGTGCTTTTCTTGCGTGTCCAGAAACGCAGGGCACGCTGTTGTATGGTTAAAGCTGAATGGAACAACATCATTGGAGATTTACACAGCTCCGTATTCATTAATCCAATGTCCATATTTTTTTTATTTTTTATGAAAGTAGTGTATGCACCTGGATCTGACTTACTATCAGCCTCTCTTAATCCCTTTACAGCAGAGCTCACTGGGAGATGGAAAAGCAGCACAGTTGTGCTGCATTACTAATAGGAAAAATAAGGAGAAGAGTGACAGAGAGATGAGCTCATCACTCTGCTGCTTCTCTTTTCACTGTCCAGTCACAGGCTTGGGGAGGGATAAGACCTGTAAGTGTTACAGAACTGCAGCAACAAATCGGGTCTCCTCTCCTGCCAGATTGTGCTGTGAGTCAGAGCTGTGGAAAGCTCAGGATCGAATGGAAATAAATACACATTTTTTGGCAAGTACACCTTGGACGGGCAGATCGTACTTGCGATCAACGAAAGCCCGCCCTGCTGAGGGGCGGGCTTCCGATGACGGCAATGCAGAACGGGCAGTGTGCGCGTGCGCACACCGGCCCGTTCCGCAGCGATCGGACGAACAGGCTGGAAACCCGCCGACAATCGTACGATTCTCGGCAGGTTTTCGAGCATGTTGGTTCGACAAAAGACGTGCGACCGTACAGTAGAAACGGTCGCACGTCTTCGTTCTCACTGCTCGATTCTCGTACGATCGCGGGATTTCACCCGATTCTCGTACGAGAATCGAGCAGTGTATGGGCACCTATTAGTATTTTTCAGCTGTTTGTCCGGAGTTCTCAGTTTATTAGAAGGTTGGTTCTCTGACCCGCACCTCAATATTCACCAAGGTTCCCATCACAGTGGTGACCCAGTATTGAGGAACAGGAGGTGGGGGAAGCTCAAGATCCAGTATTTGAATATTAGGGTGCTCTAGGTTTTAGGCTCTGTGGGTGCTCAGAAAACAGCAATTTAGTCACTTTACCACTACTATTGGTGAACCTTTTTGAGCCCCAATCCCATTGTTGCTATCTGGGCATTAATCTAGGGAGGGATTTTTTTTTTCCGGAGATTTGCAGCAGCAGATCTCTGTTAATAGTGAATAGTTTTTGATTGCAACCAGTCAGCAATAGATCTCTAGCCAGTATAGAAAACTATGAAGACACCGGGTGTAATTTAAAAAAATGTTTATCATTATTTTATCGGCTTCTGGGATCTGTCCAGACCTGGCGTAACACACGTGGGAAACTGAAGGTTGAAATGAATGAGCTTAAAGAAAAATAATATATCTATAGATATATATTTATATATTTTCAAGTATTTAGTATATTTCAAATATTTAACGCTGTAAGTGCTTCTGTATTGTATTTTTTGTTGCATGGGGGGTTTTTTTTTTTTCCTGGTGTATCTTTTACCGTTGATTTGGTTGAGACATTATGGCAAATTTCTCTTTCAGTGATATTTATTATGCAATTTTTCTTTCTTTTTAGGTACATGTACTGGACGGACTGGGGTGAAGTGCCAAAGATCGAGCGTGCTGGGATGGATGGCACACTGCGAGCGATTATTATAGACTCTGACATTTATTGGCCCAACGGTCTGACTTTGGACTATGAAGAGCAGAAGCTTTACTGGGCCGATGCAAAACTCAGTTTCATCCACAAGTCCAACCTGGATGGCACATTTCGGTAAGTGCAGGAGCGGTCTTTATTGCAGGGTTCAACAGCTGCATTCTGATCATTTGATCAAAGAAATATTTTGACGATCAATTTGGTCCCGTCTAAAGTCCAGTGAGTCATCGGGTCTTATACAGTGTATAGGACGGGAAAATGCCAAAGGAAAATCCATTGCTGGTGCGCAGGAGGAGGCAGGCTGAAGGAAGCAGTTTAACAGCCAGCCGGGATTGCGCTTTGGCTTGTTTTAGCTCCCTGCACAAAACAAGCACTTAACCCTTGCAGTGCGGGGGTGGCCCCACTGCAAGGGTTAAGATTGTTTTCCCGAACATTCAAATTAAATTTCAAGTCTCTGATTGTATTATGGAAGGCTCTGATTAATTTTTCCCATTTAAATTTTGTACGAAAATCTAGCAGTGTATTGCCAGCTTGGTTATTTTTCTGCATTTCAGCATGTTTAAAAGTAGAGATGCACCAATACCGTTTTTTTTTTTGGTATCGAGCACAAATGCCCATCTTTATCTTTTGGTACTCGCTAGGGATGCACCGATAATAGTATCGTTGCCAATAACGAGTATTTGGGTGAGTACCCGTACTCGCTCAAGTGCTCCCAATACTTATCCTGATACCGGAACTTCTGGTATCAGAAAGCCGGGCAGCGAGTCATTACATGCCACTCGGCTTCCTGATTGGCCGTGCAGCCGGCTCCATGCTCCCTCTTTACCAGGGAGCATGGAGCTGGCTTCCCAGCCAATCAGGAAGCTGGGGGCGGGTAATGACTCACCCCCCTGGCTTCCTGATTGACCGGGAAGCCGACTCCATGCTCACTCGTCACTTGGTAATACCAGATACCGATACTGGTACTTCGCTAGCATGGAGCCAGCTTCCCGGCCAATCAGGAAGCCGGCAGCGTGCCATTGCCCGCCACCTGGCTTCCTGATTGCCCTAGAAGCTGACTTCATGCTGTTTGGCCGGCTCGATGCTGATTGGCTGGGAAGCCGGTTTCTCGGCCTATCGGCATCGAGCAGGCCTAACAGCATAGTTGGACAGCCTGAGATGGTGCATGGTCACATGTCCTAGTCACATGTATCAGAGTTCCAGGAAGTAAAGGGAGATATACTAATCTGCCCTTAGTAAAAATGACCACTTTTTATCCTCTGCTAATATGAATGGGTTAAATGATCCGTAGTACATGATATGTAGCCCTGTACCCCCTTTTCCACTTACAGAGCTAGGTTATTTTTCTTTTAAATAAATATTAATGTATTTTAATGGTATCTATCTACCAGTAGCTGCCTCATTTCCCACCCTCGGCTTATATTCGGGTCAATACTTTTTCCCAGTTTTTTTGGCTAAAATTAGGTACCTCGGCTTATACTCGGGACGGCTTATACTCGAGTATATACGGTATGCAAAAAATGCAATTATCTAGAATGTGTTTTAGTATGTGTTTTGTAGATTATCATTGCTAAACATTTCTAAAGGTATATTTGTTGTTTTGGAGATCTGGGTAAAGTTTCTCATTAAGACAAAATGTACATCTTTTAGTGTACGGTTTAGGCACTAGTAACATTTCAAGATGTTGCCTGTAAGACTGCAGCTCTTTAAAAATCCACTTTAAAGAAAAATTCCAGAAATGACCAAACTAAGCCTTGCAGTGTGGCAAAGGTTAAGTGCCCTTATTGGTCTAGGGCAGGGGTAGCCAAACGCCGGCCCTAAAGCTGTGGTGAAACAAAAATCCCATAATGCATCTCTTTCCGGGAGTCATATGTGTGAGAATCTTGCACTGCCTCATGGGATTTGTAGTTCCACCACAGCTGGAGTGCCGGAGTTTGGATACCCCTGGTCTAGGAGCTCAAAGGGGTTTTGCTCACCTGATCCTCAGGCCTGCCTGGCTGCTAGGCCGGCTCCTGCCGCTGCTTCTCGCCTGGGCTTCCGGCGGCCTGGGGACCGCTGACATAATTGAATGCATTAGACATGAGGATGCTGAAGGACATTCCACGGCCAGAGTAGAGGTGGTGTGAGGTGACTGCCGCAGGTCCAAGGATGAGGCAAGTATTTCTTCTATATTTGTGTGCTCCTATGCCAAAACGAGCACTTAACCCTTGCAGTGCAGGGTTAGTCTAATAGCTGGAGGGTACATTTTATAAAATCCAGAGTTCTTCTTTAAGTAAACTTTACAATGTCACTCGTAACAATGGAGTCCTAGTTCTGGCAGGGGGGTGCTGACTGACAGCTTGGCGTACATCCCTCTGGTAGTTACCTGATGTATTAGGCTGATTTGTACTTCTGCAGAGCCTGTTGTATGGGAGGGGCCTTGTCAGGGTTTTGATGTGGAGGAGGATGATATGAAGAGAATTGGGTGACAAATTCAGCACGGGTAATCCCATGTAACAGCCGGACTTGTGTTTACACAGCTGCAGGATATTATGCTGATAGCAATCATTTCCTGATCTCTTTGCGAGCCCGAGGCTACCAGTTTCTCTGCAGTAGCTTTTTGTTTGCGTCTTCCTGTCAGAATTTTTATTTAACTATTTAGGAAAGATAGTGTTCGGGGAGGTTGAAGGGCGCTCGCAGTCTGCATCCTCGTGCCGTGCGCAAGTTTGCCATATTGTAATGTTTTTTCCTTTTTTTAAATTTAGATTTCATGTCCAGATGGTTTCGGTTAATCTTTGTGCGTCTATATAAATGTGTTTTTTTTCCTTTTTAAAATATGTACTGTCAACAAGATTCCCATTTTTCTTATTGATGTGCAATGCTTGTAAAATTAAAGCCCTGTCCTGGAGGAATTGCCTCAAATTGGTGATGGATGCATATGGTGCCCAGATGTTTAAGGTAGCTGTGGCCTACTCAGAACGAAGCCAAGGGTTTTGTTGGGAGAGCTATTGTTTGAGAATATAGCCCGGAGAGTTGAGAAGCTAATTTTAAAGAGCCACACGGCTTTGGGGGACATTTATCAGGCACATTAGGGCACAATTAAACTTAATTAGGGGCCTCCCCACATGTAGCAATGTATGTGTAACTGTTTGTTGTGTAATTGGGACCCCTGTGCCTGGAATCCTATGTCAAAAACAGATTAATATCCATTAATATGCATTACAGATTAATATCCCCTTTCATGTCTGTCTGCAGATTTCTGTGACCGCTGCCTGCTCATGAGCATCGCAATGCTGTTTTAGGTTCCCCCTGTGCTGTTTGTACCATGTGTGATGTAGTCACCTCTCACTACAGACCCAGTTCCTGAAAGCACAATAGATTTGATAGCACTGTACAGTGCAGTAGGTTAAAGTAACTGTATGGCCAGGTTAAAGCAGACCTTAACCCCCTTTCGCTAAAAATCCCATTGTACATTTACCAGTAGCTGCCTCATTTCCCACCCTAGGCTTATACTAGAGTCAATATTTTTTCCCAGTTCTTTGTGGTAAAATTAGGTACCTCTGCTTATATTCGGGTCGGCTTATACTCGAGTATATACGGTAACCTCCCCAGGATGCAACGCTTGGGCACAGATTACATCAGCAGAGCATTGCTGGGAAATCTCATCTATGATCTCACTGATCTCAGGGAAAGGCATTTTCCTCCCCTGGGATGATGTGCATGGTCACATGTCCTGGTCACATGTGCCAGAGTTCCAGGAAGTAGGAGATTTATTAATTTGCCCTTAGTAAAAATGGCCATTGTCAGAAGACTGGGAAAGAAAAGAGAAATAAGGAATGCAAAGAAATAAAAGCCGGGAATAGTCTGGATGCAAGTGTGTGTAGATTGTCATCACTAAACATTTCTAAAGGTGTGTTGTCATTTCTCTTTATGTATGGATGCCATACTTTTACATTGTCACTCCTACCTCCCTCCTGCACCCTTCTTCCGCATCCTCCAGCGACTGCGTTCCTCTTCGGCCATTGATGATGTAACTCTTGCAGCTAGTTCACACCAGATGCAGTGTTGGGATGCAGTTCATTCAGTTTGGCAGCTGCATCAAAATCGGTCACAATGCTTTCCTATGGGATTTCTGGCGCTCTGTTCACACCAGTGCGATCGGTTCCAATGCAGTCAGAAAAAATCCTGCTTGCCACATTTTTGCTGCACCTGATCGCAATAAAATGCATCAAAATCACATGCAAATGCACTGGAACTCCCTAGACTTCATCTGAAAGCCCATTTTAAGCTAAAGCATGAAAATTGCGGAAAACCGCATCGCACTGCAGCTGCACAGACGCACGCATTTCTGATGCAGTTATGGTCTGAACTAGCCCTTACACGTACACACAGGAGTTGCATTGTCTCTGGCACCTTGCTCTATTCTTGTCATGCCAATAATAGAGCCAGGGTGGACTGTGCATGGCACTCCTGCTGGTGGCATATACTCCTTGGTAAATACATGTATAAAGTCATGCCATGGACACTGCATTGTGGGGAAGAAAAAAAAAAAACCATGCTTGTCCATACCCAGATGTTTTTAAAGGAGAACTATGAGGTGAGTGATTTTTCACTCTTCCTCATAGTTTGAGCCAACCTGTGACAATGAGACTGTCACATATCGTCTCTATAGATCGGAGAGTAAGGGAACACATACCGTTGCTCGCTCACTTCTCGCTCATCTCCCTGCCGAGAGCCGATTCTCCAGCGCTGACTGGAGGAACGGACGGGGGAGGGGGCGAGCACAACTGGCTTTGCCTCTTGATAGGCAGAGCCTGCTGTCAATCAGCCAGCTGGGTGGATCTCGACAGCATTGTCGGGATCCCTCCCGACTGCAGCGATCTCGATATATAGTAAGCAATAGCCTGCAATATACTGAGCTTTGGTCACAGGAGGATGTTAGAATATGTCCTCCCGTGACCCTTAAGAGAACTATGGTATAAAAGGGTTACCCAATAGTTCTCTCTTAAGACTCTTAACCCCTTCGTGACTGACGACGTACAGTGTACGTCGCCAGCATCTTCTAGTCATCTGTAGTGTTACTTTGTGGCACCAGGTTAGATGTTTTAAAGAACTGTAACGTAACATCAAGATTGTTC